GGGGAGGGGGAGGGAGGGGGAGAACCATCATTTAAAGATGCATAACAGCTGCTAAGTTTTTGAAGTGCTGCCACTAAGGCTGTATATTTCACTGGATAACTGTACTGTTGATTTCTACTGGTCTATTAAAAGGAACAGTTAATGCTCAAAATTTTTCTTTTTAATTTTTTTTTGACCAATCTTCCCACATCTTTTTTTTTTTTTTTTGCAGAGCCAGGGATTGAAATCAGGCCCTTGGGCTTGCCAGGCAATCGCTTATTCAACTGAGCTATCTCCCCAGCCCCTTTTTGACCAATCTTGCATGCTCATATCTGGTAACCTGAACAACCAATCTGAAGACACTATGCAATGTAACAGCCATTTCTGAATTCTTAAATAAGTGGTCATAAGCAATATAGGCAATAACCCCATTCTGCACAGCACTGTGCTGCTTAGGAGGGACTACCTTTGACCTGTGTCTGTGTAATTTTTTATACTTAAACTAAGATTTAACCCTTCTCTTCTGAATTAAGAAACTGCACTATATAAGAATTACAGTGACACAAAATCACGTTTTATTCATGGAAAATGAGCCCACTGAAGAGCCTAATAAAGGTGAGCACATTAAAACAAAGCCCATTAGAAACCCTAGTCCGTTTCCTCTCCCAGACGCTAACTCCGCCAGCCCTGAGGGCTGCGTGCCAGGGACCCACTGGCCAGACCACCACCCAGGAAGGAGGGCTGAATGCCAACTCCATAAAGACAGATATTAGAAGAGGCCTTAGCAATGCATACAAAAAGCTCTGACACAACAATTCAACTTCCAGAAATCATTTTTTTTTTGTACTTTTGGGAAGGGTCTACAGGGTGTTCAGGGTCTCACTGTGTAGATGGGACTCACAGTGATCCATCTGTCTTCAGCCTCCCAAGAGCTGGGATTACAGGCGTGCGCTACCACAGCAGGCCTGGGAATCGAACCCCAGGCCCCCTGTGCCTGCCTGCAGGCACTTTAATCAGCTGAGCTATTTGGCCAGCCCTCCAGAAATTAATTCTGGGGGCCTGCCTGTTGGCTTGGTTGTTTAAGTGGTGGCTTCAACAAAGCAGTCAGGCTCAGGTTGCTGTGGTTCGATCCCCACAACTCAAGCCAGCCAAACCTGCCCTGAAGGCATTCAGAGCCAGCACCCCCCCAAAAAATCTCCAGAAATTAATTCTAATCAGAAATAATCAGTGCAGAAATAGCTACGTGACCATCAACGTGGCAATGCTTACACCAGCCAAGGGCAGGGGATGACCACGCCACAGATTCATTGAGCAGCCCGCTCAACTGAGGACTCACGTGATGAATATATGGCTACGTATACAAGCTAAGGTTTAACCCTTCTCCTCTGAATTAAGACACTGCATTCTATAAGAACTACAGTGACACAAAATCACATTTCTATTCATGGAAAATGACCTAATATATTCAAGGTAAACTTTAAAATACATTAAAAATTACATTGTAGGGGCTGGGGAGATGGCTCAGTAGAGTAAGTGCTTGCCTGGTAAGTGCAAGGGCCTGAGTTCAATCCCTGGTTCTGCCCCCCCATTACATTGTAAGAACCCCTTTTATTATCTTAAAAAAGTGAACAGAGGCTGGGGAGATAACTCAGCAGTCTAAGCACCTGCCTGGAGAGTGCAAGGGCCTGAGTTCATCCCTGGTACCACATGCCATGCTGGCCTTGGGCATGCTGTGCCAACCCTGAGACCGGGTGTGGGGGCGCATGCCTGTAATTCCAGTGCTGGGAAGGCTAAGACAGGAGGATCACTACGAGTCTGAACTGCACAGTGAGACCCTGTACCAAATAAATAAATAATAATAAATAAAAATGAACAGATTCATGCTTATGCAGGTCATAGACAAGTGTCTGGAACGTTCCAAATGTTAGCGGCGATCACAGGTGCTAACAGTGTAAACGGCGCCATCCCCTGCGCTCAGCTGCATCCTACTACTCTGCCTACAGGAAGCGTCTGTTATTGCTAGAATCTTCCACTCTGGCTCTACCTAGGCCCTTTGTTTTTCTAAGTTTAAAAAGCTCATGTTTGGAGGACAGAGATCACAGCCTAGACTTCAGAAACACACCCACGTGAACACAAGAAGGAGTCTTACGACTACAGGAACCCCTCGGCCTCTGTGGCCCACAGATGAAGTCTCTACACCACAGTGCCGGAGCCCAGGTGACCCCGACGCGCGCCACCCTCACCTACTCAAGGAAGGCGGCGAGGCTCACATGAGGCGGGCATCCACTTGGCAGTGCCCCTTTTCCCTCAAGTTCTATACGATAAGGCTGGTAGTGTTTGCAAAGTCCTACCATGATGTTTTCTGTAAGACAGCACTTGATGAGCAGGTGCAGTGTGTGAGGGGATGAGGGGAGGGCTTCACTCGCGGAACTAGCAATAAAGTGCATTTGCCTAACCAGCAGTAGGGACGATACCTCCTTCCTGCTCTCCTTGCTCTGATCAACCTCCATGTCCATGGGGTTGCTCCCATTTGTCTCTTCCAGCTCATCCTCACTGGAAGACAAGAACAGGAAACTGAAAGGTCATTCGGATTAACTCTATCCCATATACATTATAAGCAATATGTTGATTTGATGGCAAATAATATGAAATTAGTATGTTTGCAGACGCTAAAGACAACATTTTGCAACTCAAAAGAGAACCTCACCAGCTCCAAAAGCTCTGTTGGAACCACTTGCCCAAGTAGACATCCATCCCCAAACCTCATTTTTCCACTCTTAGCCACCTACCCTGAGGCTTTTTGGTGGTCTGCACAATTGATGTGTCATAATAAAAAACAAAACCCACCTTTCCCATGATAGAGCCCCACTTTAGAAAAGTCAAGCAGCCTCTCGGTTTGCCCAGTTAAAGCCAATGGAACAGCAGCGGCCACAGAGCAAGCGGGGTGCGGGGTGCGCGCGCTTGCAGCCCCAACCACCCCTCAGTCGGAAGTCCTGGCTCATGGTGCCCTGCAGTAAAGGGCAGCGCCCCTGCCCTTACTTTTACAAGCAAGTTTGAGTATGACTGCAGTGGGCGCTTGGCCTCCTGCCAGTACGGGGGGCCACGGGGGCAGAGTGCCGTGGGGACAGGCGCCTGTGCCCTGGGAAATCAGCATGTCTGTCACCGGTCACAAGGGTGACCAGTGTTACGGCCAGTGTTACTGCGTCTTTCTCATCACCGCTTAGTTGACTGGGCCAGTTTTCGGCAAGACCCAATATGTAAATTATAAACTAGGCTTACACACGAGGAAACGAAAAATTTAATCAAAATTCTGTAAGAGTACTGATCCCTAAAGAGACCCACTAGCCTACGTGCCAAAGAGTATGCACATTTGCCAAAACAGTTTCACTGAATCTTTTAGATACTGAGGTCTTGTTACATTGCTCAGGTTGGTTTCAAGCAATCCTCCTGCGTCCGCCTCCCAAGCAGCTAGAATTCACCACCCAGCTGAGTCTCATCGCTGCAAAGAGCCCTGGACATAAACTGAACATCACTGCTGTGTAGCACACCAAATGTACACACATGCCAAATGCACCTTAGATCACCAAACACAACTCAACCTAAGAGAGACGCTCTCCTCCTCTTGAAATGGGCCACCTTTACAGGGCAGGAGCCCCAAGTGCAGGGCGCGCGGCAGGCGAAGCGTGGATGTGTGCCCCCCACGGGTGGCTCGCTCACCTCTCCTCGCGCTCACGCTTCTGCTTCCGCGCATGGCGGTCCATCACGCTGGTCTTAGTTCTGGTCTTCTTCCAAGAGTAGTAAAACTTCACCAGACTTGCTATAGACTTATCAGGAAGCTGAACATGAAACATGAGCTCGTTTAGGGTTAAAGCTGATCTTTAAATATTAAACATGTTTAGACATTCAATAAGGTTCATCTGCACATTTAGAAAGTCCTAAATCACAGCCTTTTTTCTGATAAGGAAAAAAAATTAATAAAATACATCTTCTAATCTGTTCCCAAACTTCTGAAGTTCACTGACTAAAACTGGGACAATGAAAGCCTGGGTGAGAGTAAGAGAAATTTGTTTTTCATACAAGTAAACGCCCATAATGCTACTTTGGGTTTTGTTCTACAAAAGTCATTTTAACACTTCAGGCAACTGTCTGAAGGCTTTTATGCAGACAGTCCACCACACAGCTTTCCAGAATGAAAAATCTAAGGAGATGTCCCCCACAGGCCATAAGAGCGGCGCATGGCCTCAGGCTCCTCCTGGGCACTTGCTGCCCGGGATGAGGTGGAGGCGGGAGGGTGCAGCAAGCTCCAGGCTGGAAGAGCCGCTCCAGGGCACTGCATTTTCTGAAGGAAGCTTGCGAAAGCAGGAATATCCTCAGTCAAGGACAACAGCCGTCTCTGCATGTACACTGAGCACACAGAGATGGAAAACAAGCCTGCGGCCTCTTACCATTTGTTGGATTCTGTGAAAAGTTTTCCCATGAAAACTAAAAGCTTGCTCAAATAAGACTTTATCTTCCACAGTCCATTCATCTGGGAAGGGGGTGAAGTTGGGCAGATCAGCCAGTGACTTTTCAATGTTATGCTTATGCCAAAAGAGCATGCCGAGAGCCTAGAAAAGTGCAGGAGCAAGACTTTAGGCCAAATACCTGAATCAAACAGAGAGCTGAAGTGCTACTGGCAAAAGAAAAGCATGTATGATTTTTACATCCAGACGAGTGAATACTTGCTTGATTCATACAAACTGCTTAAGTGGAAAACATTCCCCTATACCCCTTGCCCCAAGTTTTTTTTTTTTTTTCCCCTTTTTTTTCTTTTTTTGCAGTACCGGGGATTGAACTCAGGACTTGCTAGGCAAGCACTTATTCTACTGAGCTATCTCTCTGGGCCCTCTTTCTTTCCTTTTTTATTTTAGGACAGGGTCTACAGGATCTCACTGTGCAGATCAGACTTATAGTGATCCTCCTGTTTCCAGCCTCTAAAATGCTGGGATTACATGCTCCACACCTAGTCTCAATCGCTGTCTCAGCATGCCGCAGGGGCGGGACTGGCTTGGCAGGCACAGGAATCCAACTCCCAGCCCCTGCGTCTGGCTAAGCAGGCATTTGCTTTAATCCGCTGGGCTATTTGGCGGGCCTGCCCCCAGTATTTTCACTGGGGTGAAACGCACCAAGTTTATCATCTCAAACGTTGTAAGAAAGCTGTGAAGTCCCATCCACATGCAGACTGTATTAGATGGAACCATTTATGCCTTGGGAAACTAAACCTCTGTGCCCATTAAACACTAGCTGCCCTCTGGTCTCCTGGGCCTGTCCCTATGTCCCTGGAAGCCAGTTTCCAACTACTGGTCTTTGGTCAGATGGCTCTACATCCCTCAGCTAAGCAGAACCACCCAGCATTTGTCCTCATGACTGGCTTATAAAGTCTGCAGGGCTCACACAAGCTGAGCAAGGCAGGTTCTTTGTAAGTCAAACAGCAATCCACAGGTACGCATACGCTGTGCTGTACTCATCCACCCTCTGGACACTTGAGCGCCTCCTTTCATTCTTTGGGTCTAGATCCAGGAGAGGATTTGCTAAGTCACAAGATCACTGTCTAGAGTGTTCGGCAAAGGCACTGCCACACCCCTTCCCTTCAGCAGCAAATGATCTTAGCTCTTGCAGCCCTTTTCTCCGGGCGACTCTGGGTGACCTCAGCGTAGCCATTCCTCTCCTTTACTGTCTGATGAATCACCTTCTCCAGCCTTCCACTTGGTCTAAGGAGTTTCTTGGTCACAGAATGCATTAGGATCATGTGCTTTACTCACTGCTGACCTCTTCTGTTTTGACTGAAGAATATAACCCATCCATAGCTAACGTATGTATTTGTTGATACTGAAGAAACTGTCACTTCTTTCTCCTAAGCCTTGCGGCTTTTTTCCTTTTTACCTCACTTCCTGAGCTACTGTCTATGTTTAGTTGATTATTCACTGGGAATAGTTACATCTCCTCCTCATCTCCTTGTATGGATACTCCACTGCTCTTCTTTTGGTTGCCACAGGGATTACATGTCACGTCTTGAAGCTGTAACACTCCATTCTGAGTTTATACTGGTACAGTTTTAATGCTGCATAAAAAGGCAGCTCCTTAAACAGCTCTGCCTGACCTCTCCGTTGGTGACATCTCACAATTACTTTTTTAGGGAAGGGTCTACAGGGTGTTCAGGGTCTCACTACTAGATCAGACTCGTAGTGATCCGCCTGTTTACAACCTCCCGAGAGTTGGGGTTACAGGCACGTGCCACCACGCCCAGCCTCAATCACACCTGGGGGCAGGGCCGGCACAGCAGGCCAGAGATGAACCCTGGCCGCTGTACGCTGCCTAAGCAGGTACTTGAGTCCACTACCTGGCCAGCCCCTGAAGAACAAATTAGGACCAAGAGATAATCTAGTAATACTATCTTGCAAAAACTTACAACATCACAGTTCTAAACTAAAAATGATCATCTCAAAATAGAATGGTCAAGCTCAGCAACCTTAAGATTCATACAGGTACAGTTGGGGGTAGTGGTGCACATCTCTAACCCCAGCTACTCGGGAGGCTGAGACATGAGGATCACAAGTCTGAGGCCAGACTTTCTTCTTTTCAAAAGAAGAAAACATAAGCAATCCAAGCCACCATACAGATATTACTTAGAAAATTTCCAATGAAATTTACAATTTTTTTTTTTTAATGCTTTTTTTCCAAACCAGTGTGTGAAGTTTATGGACAGGGTTCAAAAAAATAAACCTTTTTTTTTTTCCTTAAAACAATTCTGGATCTACATGAGTCTCAAAGGCTTTTCTAAAAGTACCTTCACTAACCAGGATAAAGGAATTCAAAGCCAGGCCAACCTAACTGAAGGCATTACTTGTGTAAACTCTGGGCTCCCTCGACGGCTGGATAAGTGAGGAACGCAAGGGACTAATAGGGGGCAGCAGCAGACCAATGCCACGGAGGGCACTAATCTCACTCAATATGCTTAAAACAGTAATTAGACCTTGAGCACGAAATACGATTATCAACATACTTTGGAAGAAAAATCAGTCTTGCAGTTTTCCCATCAACGTTCCAAACAATACTTTAAAACAACCTTAGTTAATTTAAACCTTCGCCACCCAGCGGTTCAAAGCGAGGAATGCAGCACCAAGAGGCGCACTGCGCTCCGTTCTGACCACGCTGGCACCCCTGCCCAGAGGCAGAGACCTGCGGAGGCACTTCACGCTGGGCAACAGGGCCTGGACGCGGCGCAGGGTCCCACCCTGAGCAAGCCAGGAGGCAAGCCAGCCCTACCTGCTCCATGTTGTACCCGTGCTTCTCCTTGGCGATGGCGATGTACTCGTCCACTGGAAGACAGAGGAGAGGCCATGAGCGCCCTGGGAGGGCGAGAGGGGCTGCAGCCCCACAAACGAGGACGAAAGCGGGGAACATCGACCCCACCGTGCGGCCGAGAGGTCCCCCAGACGCCCCCCTGGAAGGAAGCGGACTGATGCGGGCTTGCACTTTGTAACTGCCCTTTAACAGACAAAACAAGCAAAAACCGTTGGCTTTTCTAAAACAAGTATTACCTTGGTACCGTACCTTAAAAAGAAGTATGAAATTGGGCTGGATTTTTGGGTTCACTTGAGGTTAAAGTACAGGCAAACTATCTTATGGGGTTTTGGCTGGTCTCCAGCGTTGGGACTCAAACCCTGGCTTCACACGCATGCAGGTGTGGGGGGCGATAGAACGCTCCTGTTATATTGTCCCTTATTTGGGCAAGAAGTGCTGCAGCACCAATCCCTGCTTGCCTCGACATCTTCCTGTGCTCCTGGACCTCCACTACCAATCCACAACTAGTCCCACCCAACTGCTTCCACTATACAGCTATTTAGACCCTGTTCACTTCCTCAATAAACGAGACTTGATCAGAAAGCCTGTCTTGTCTCCGTCTCTTGTGTCTCTTGCCCTGTCTTGTTCATCCCCGTTCCTCCTCCAGGTCACTACCCCACATCTTGACTCGCGGGCCGAGTCATGCAGGCACACAGAGCGCAGGCTCTGACACTGAGCCAGCTGCATGTAAGGCAGTAAAACACCACAAGAAATGCCTGCTGCGTGTGGCGGCAGCGCACACCTGTGATCCCAGCACTTGGGAGGCTGAGGCAGAAGAGCTGCTAGGGGTTCAAGGCCAGCCTGGGCTATCTAAGTGAATTCAAAGGTGCCCTCACACGTGGTGTTTGCCTCTCTCTGACACTCCAATAGCAAGGGGCATCTGCTAACTTTCAAGTACTGAGGAGACACGGGGCAAAGAGCTGGCTGCCTGCCAGGAGGAGCTCCACGCTGCAGGGGACAGACACCCTTGCACGTCACCACTCGTCTCCATCCCACGGCGCTGTTTATGCTCATGTACCGCTTCCCTTCATGAATTAGAAAACAGTGCAGGCGGACACACACAATAACTTATTTTTGTAACAGAATTCTATGAAATAAAGTGAAATTCTTCTTGCCCACAAAACTCTCTCTCCAGGTGCGATGACCATGACAGGGAGCAAGAGGCTCTGTGGGATCCCTGTCCAAGGTCACACAGAGGTGGACAGAGAACTCCGGGCCGGGCTGCACCCCCAGAAGCCAGCTGACCCAGCCACACCAGCCCTTTCCTCCTGGGTACTGCTGACAACCAGGGGAGCAAAAAGAAGTAGTCCTGCTGGTGCAAACTCTGCTTTATGGCAAGCATTCTAACCCTTGGGAAAAACATTTTCCATAGACAAAAGAAAAACCTTAATTCCAACAGCAGCATCTACACTGTAACTCAATGTCAATTTCAATTCTAAGGTACTAACCTACTATTTTTTTATATTTAAAACCATACAATCTTGCTGGTTCCTTCAGCAATTGTCCTATTAACCTGAATGTCAAAAAATAACAAACAAACTGGCTGGTGAGATGGCTCAGTGGTCTAAAGCACCTACTTAGAACAAGCTAAGCAAAGCACAGAGACTGCGGTTCAATCCCCCAGCACCACATGCCAGCCAGCCCCGCCCCCTGGTGGGCTGAGCTGGCCACACACACACACACACACACACACAAATAAATAAATAAAAAATTAAAACAAACAAACAAACAAACAAACTGAATGACCTTGGAATGAACACGAAAGCTGAAAGTGATCCGAGGGGTGGAGGTGTTTCTTGAGCTTCTCCTGCTTTTCCCTCACAACAGGTACACGCTGTGCCCATCCTGTGCGTGATCTGCCTGCACAAGCCAAGGGTGCTCACGGCCCTCTTGGCCCCCAGGGGCTGCCATCGCTCCTACCACATCGGTCCTGGGGCCTACGCAGCCTCCCTCACGAGAGGCAACTACAAGCGACAAGCGCACTTCGGCAGCTGCTCCAGCAGCACCAGCAGCTGAGGCAGAGCAGGGAGTGCAGTGGGTTCCGAGGTGGCAGCGTGGGTGGGATGGCATGCTGCCCACAGCATGAGCAGCACTGCTTCTCGTGGGGAGCAGCCCTCACAGTACCACTGCTTGCCCCGGGTTGGCCTAAAGGTTGCGAGGAAGCAAACAAGGTGGGACCCCTGGGACCTGTAAAGCATACCGCCTTAGAGCTGCCGGCAGACACAGAGATGTCCAACAGAGCTTCGGGGGACAAGCACGTGCAGAATCGGTGCTGGGGCAGCACAGGTGGGGGCGGGGGGGAAGACAGGCCCAGGGCCAAGCCGACCTCGTTTCTTCAGTCTGTCCCACAGTGCCTGGCCAACCTTTAACAACTTACTGTACTGTTCTGATGTTCCTAAAACCACCACTTATCTGACCCTCCAATTTCAGAGGACCAGAGAGAAACTTCCCAAACTGTACAGTTTCACATGACATGCTAACCAATTCCCTAGGCTTTCATCTGCACACAAGCGACCTCAAAATGACCCGAGGTTCACGAAACAGCTGTCCTGTTCTAGCTCCTCCCTGTCCTCTCCTTCACTCAAGCCCTGCCCTGTGAACACCAGCCTCTCTGCCTGGCCTGCTCCGACCACTCTGTGCATGAAATGCGCTCCAGCTCTACAATCAGCTTTCGATGGCTGGAGATAGGAGCTTCCTCCAGCAGAACCAGACCATCACCAACTGGGAAGCCAGCCATGCAGCCACCTCTTCTCCTCTGCAGCAGCGCACAGGACTCTGGATCTCACCCTGCACTGGGCTCCTCTGCAGTGTGGCAGCTGCCGCTGGCAGAACGGGGAAGAAAATGAACACTGTGCATCTGTTGCAATCTCCCACAAGACTTCCTTAGGTAAAGAGAAAGCAAGCTTTAAAGCTGAAAAAACAAAACCTGCTCCAGTGCGCTAGTGAAAACCAAAGACTACCCATGCTGAAGGAGGACGGAGCGAGGAGACGAGGTCCCAGGGCAGTGCAGGCCAAGACGAGCACAGGGAACAGGGCCTCCCCAGCGTGCGGTCTCCAGCTGGGAAGCAGCGCCCCACACTGCCCCCTAGAGTCACCCCAACCTGGGAGAGAGGCACCCTGCAGGCAGCTGGAGACCACAGAGCTCATTCCCAGTTACAGAGGTGAGTGTGCCTGGCACACAGGGGGTGAGCCGGAAAGTGGTCGATCAGCAGGCCACCTGCATGCCTGCCCTGCCATGTAACTTGATCCTGCACAAGGTGACAATTCTCACTGAATGACTCAGAGAACCATCTAACCTACTGCTAATGGGCGCATACAACACAGCTGCGGCTTTGTGAGAAAATGAGACTCTGGTTTCAGGGTTTTTTTTAATCTTTTATTTACGCATTTGGTACAGGGTCTTGCTACACAGCTCAAACTAGTAGTGATCCTCCTCCTAGTTAGCCTCCTCGGAGCCAGGATACAGGCATATGCCTCCACACTTGCTTTCAGTGGCCCGCACAGTGCAGGGCCAACATGGCACGTGGGCTACCAGGGATCAAACCCAGGCTTTGTGCTTGCCAGTTGGGCACTTGGCTGCTGAGCTACCTCCCCAGGCCTCAGGTGCAGTTTCGTGAGACAAGGTCTCACCAGGTTACACAGGCTAGCTCCAAACCCCTGCAGTCCAGCGAAGCTCCTGCCTCAGCCTGCCACGTCAGCCTGCCACGTCAGCACTGTGGCTGTGGCAGTGTGGCCAGCTCCACAACTTTTCAGGTGGCAGGCGCAGATAATCACGACACCACCAAGGCAGAGTGCGAGCTCACCCCACGAGAACGTCTAAACCCTGCAGCCCACTTACTGAACACCACCTACTGTGCGCAGAAACCCAGCTGAGCAGCAGGCCAGAGAGAAAGGCCAGGCCAAACCTGGCACTGTCTGCAGTAGTCTACACAATCAAGGGGAGAGGGAGAGGGCATCACGCGGCGGTGTAGCAGCGATGGCGCAGGTGAGGACGGTGCAGAGTCGGTCACGCGGACAGAGACTCCAGAAGGGGTCCCTGCTGCCCAAAAGGGGTGGCAGGAGTTTGTTACCCACGGTACCAAAACCCCAAGCAAGCAAGCAAGCAAGCAAGGCCCACCAGAAGCCAAGGAGAAAGAAAGCTCCCTGAACAGCTCCAGAGGCTGAAACACAGTGACAGCTGGCAGCTGAGACGCACGCGGCCAGCATGGCCAAGGTCACCACTGTGAAGGCAGAAGCCCCTCCCAGTCCGCAGCCCTCTCCCTGACCATGGGTGGGGAGTCCTGCACGTTGTTCCAGCCACATGGATGGGGCTCCGAACTGGGGGTGAGCAGCAGGTGGCTGCCTGTGCTGAGCTTATGCTCCCACTCACATACCCATCCTGCGGACCACAGGTCTGTAGTGCCGTCAGGAAGAACCCCAGACTGCACGTGAGGGATGGAGTGCAGGTCCACACTGCTGAGCAACCCAGCTTCTCTGCCCTGCCCAGGCTCTGCAGACGGGCGCAGACCCAAGAAGGCAGCCAAGCCCAGGGCTCCTAGCCTTGCAGGGCTCTGGCCAGAATCCTATCATCACAACGTCTGCGTGAGCATCTGATATGCAGAGGAAACATGATGGCAATTTCTCTTATACCTCAAAATAGAACATACATATCTCAAATATCATGGAGCCTCTCTTACAACTTAAATAAGGGACGGTGATGAATGGAAGCCAAAGCAAGTCTCTCAGGCGCGGCAACTCTGCCACCTGGCGGGGCTGCGCAGCACTACATCTGGCGCCCGTGCTCCCTCGCAGAGCAAGTAAGTCCACGTCCTTCCTGGCAGGAGGTGCGCCTGCTCTCCCTAAGTGCTAGTCACCACAGGGGTTTGTTTCCTAAAAACCCGCCTTGCAGAACGGCACGCTGCTTGCTCCTCCCAGTCTCGTAGACACTGTGGCCTGGTAGACGAGCAGAGCAAATACTCACGCCCGGCACACAGGT